TCATGTCCGAAGTATGCTACTTGCTCAAAGACAACATTTTCGGCCAGGCGGGATGGTTCGTGTCTAGCATCATACTTCACAGGTTGTCTTCATCGCCGTTCACCCCACCCTCCCTCCCATATAAAAAATTTTGCTCGTGTTGGCTGAGTTCTAAATGACAAATGAAGCTTAGCAACAACATTGTTTGGTCAGCAGGAAGCGGAAAAAAAGTAACTACTTTATGATTTAAGTTTTCTAAACTTTTTTCGCTATTAATTATGTTCGCGTTATTTTGCCCTAAAAACAGCAATTTTTTTAAAATCCATAAATTGGAGTCTGTGATGAAAAAACCTGCCAAATTCGATCATGCATGGATAAAATTAAGCTCAAGTTTGGTGAATTTTTAAAAGAATTTTTAAGCAAAAACTGCGTGATTGTTAGAAAAGACAGATGGAAACGTGCAAAAATGTTTGATTTTTGCGCTTATAAGATGAAATTTGAACGTTTCTCTACTCTCTTAGTTTTTCTTTTTAGCAATAAAAAAGGTGTTTTTTTCCGGCCAAATGATTACTTTTTTCCGCTCCCTGTTGAGCAGTCTTAGAATCGTTTTTTTAACCGTGTAAAATTTGATTTGAAGTAATGAATTCTCAGTAGTAGTATCTTTATGACTCAGATCTAAGATTTTCGCAAATATAGAGGAGTTGATTAAACTAAACTGTTTTTTCTTAAATGAATAGAAACCGGGATTGAGAGCATTGGAAAAGTTTTTTAAAATCAATAGAAGTTTCTCAGAAAATGTTTTAAAGGCCATATCTGTTAGATATTGTTAATTTTCCATCTTTTTGGTTTGCTGAGACGGTATAAGATTAGGTGTTACGAGATCACTCTACCTGCAGTTCTTCCCATCAACCAGATGTCGCCTCAGGCGCGCGCTACCAATGCCTTCAAGACCATGTTCCTCAAGATGATTTCAGTATTCTCTGTGTTGCTGTTTTACGTGTTCATTGTCGGAATGGCAGTCGCCTCTCAGGTTAAACTTCACTAGAGATCTTTCTATCTTTTTGTGGATTATCTTACCAAGCTCGAAATTTGGTTTAAACTTTAGTGTAAGTGGTTATACGTGATAATAAGCTAAGTTGTGTTTCACTTAATGTCCACTTGTGGCATTTTTTTTATTACCAGGAAAAAGTTTTGAAATTTGTCTACGCTCATCTGCACATTTTAGCGGCTTGACTTGATTTTTTTCTTTGTTTCGAATTCATTTAAGAAATGGCATGAAATTGAGAACACCAAAAAACTAGCTATATTCGTCGCAAAAAAATCCTTGTTTTTCAATCAATTCCTACAAAAAAAATCAAAATTAGCAGCAAACATTGATTCACATGCTCTACAGTGCTGGTTTAAATTATCCGGAAAAACACATTTAACTCATTAAGAGACCACACTCTGCATTTTGTGAACTTCAAGTGGATTCCACAACAAGCCAAAATCAGATTTGTCACAGAATCCGCATCATTGCGATTTTTCTGTGATCTTTCATGCTGTTTTCGGTTCCACAAACAAATAGCTAAAACACAACCGCTCAAAATTGCTCTGAAAGTAGACAAATTTGCGTAACTTTTACTACATTTTCAAATTGAATCTATTTTTGCGAGTCATCATTAAGACTGTCCAACAGTTCAATCTCATCTCATTTACTGCAAAGAGCTTGAGCTAACCAGCTAAATTTTAAATCTTGAAAAAAAAATGAACTCCTTCCCGATCATAAATACTAAGAAATTGAACATTTTTGCAATCTCAAATCTGAAAAAATTAACACGTTTCCAATCTCAAACACTGAAAGATTGAACACTTCTCCCATCCTAAATACCGAAAAATTGGACACCTTTACTTTCCAGTTTCAAATACTGAAAGAATGAAAGCAAACCGAAGTAAGGAAATTCATGGATTATAAAGATGAAATACCAATCAATTTTATTCGAAACACAAAAGGTGTACATCCAGTTTTTGGCTGTACAGCGATTTAAGGTTTGTCATTGGATTCCACTGGCAAAAATTAAATCCTTGTTTCAAACCCGCATTTGCTTGATCGAAAATTAGCTTTGAATTGTTCAAGCAAAAACTGTTTCAGCTTTTCAGAAAAAAACTACGATCCACTCAGAATTGTCAAGTCGGCTTTCGTTTGCCGAATCCACTTACATTTTGCGGAATCCGAATACAATTGCGGAATCCGGAACAACTAATGATGTTCTCTTGTTGCGGAATCCTCGACAAAACTATTGTTTCGAAAAACCTAACATTAGATGTTTTTACGCGGAACCCACAGAAGTTCTGTAAATGGAACCACTAATTTTGGGCTCAAAATTTTGGGCTCGCTTCCTGATATACTCCCTAGGTCTTTGGTATAATTTTAAATCAGATTGAGTTATGATCCATTTTTGCCTATGTACGTTTTCTCCAACATTATCATAAAAATTCTGAGAAGTTTTAATCGAAAGAAAATGTTCAAGGAATTGTTTCTGTAAACGGGCTACTATCTATTTTTAAACCGCGATGGACTTGTATCAAAACAACATATTCTTAAAACTATCAAACAGGTACCCCAACTTTATCTGGCCCACTTGTTCAAAAATAGATTTTTACATTCAGTTTTTTCTGCACAGTGAGAATGTTTTGCGCTAGTTTTCTTATACTTTAATTAGTTTTATCAAGATTTTTCAGGAAGGAAAATCACAGATTTCATGATTGATTTTCATGCAAGTGGAAGTACAAGTTTCTTTTATTTATTTTTGTGAATATCACATCAAAACAACTCCGACCTGCTCTTTTTTATAAGGGTTCAATGTTTTGTCTTTGTTTTTTGACCGACGTGGTCGTATTTTGACCAAAAGTCCATGATCGCGCAGAGCCTTTAGCCGAAATGAAAGTCAAAACAAAAAGTTTAATTGAGTGGAACATAAAGTAGAACTGAGTTAGAACAAAAAATAGTTCAAAAGCGCAGCATAAAAATGATAAACAAAAACTTGAGCAAAAAGTTTCTGGTTTAAGGGAAACCTTACTCAGATATGGTGTTAAGCAAAAGTCATTCAAGAAGAGTTGGTTACCGCAAGCCATAAAGTTCCAGGCGACCTCTAAACCTTGATGATCTAAAGGCTCCCACGGTAGGAAGCACTAGAAAAAGTGTAAACATTTACAAATATTTATTGGGGGTTTGTTAATTTAAAATGATCAGAAAAAAATTTCCACAAATTATCACGTGAATAATTTCGATTAGAATTTACCTTTTTTTATGTTGCGTGAAAGATTTATAAATTGAGTGTTTAAATTGGTCAAACTTCATTAAATAGTGAAAATGATCGAGTCGAATCCTGCTTGATCGAATTTGATCAAAACTAATACTGGTTGGGCTGAAATTAGTCGAACTATTACAAAATGGTCAAAAAGGTTGAGCTGATTTTGCTATGTCAAACTTGGTTGAAGTATAATTGATTTTAATCAAAACTTTTGGCTAAAATGGTCGAACTGTGACTTGAATGGCCGGAAAACTCACAAAAACTTGTGTAGAAAAAATGGTGTTGTTTTTCCTTTTTTCAGACTGACACAAAATTTGCATTTGCCACGATGAGAATTTTCATGTTGTTTGAATCTGAGCTTAGCTTTTTCCTCGTCTGATTAAACTTATTCCATCATGTCTGTAAGACATAAATATGTCGATTGACTATAAAAAAGCTCATTTTGAAACTTGAACATGAACACCTTGGACATTTAATTTCTACGTAATTTCAAATGCTTCAAATCAAATAGAAATTTTGGCCCTGTATTTGGCAAAAACCCACTCTATTCTGGAAAACTCCACGCAATTTTTCGGTCTCTTTTTTGTCTGAAGTTCCACGCAAAAATTCAGTCTCTTTTTGTCTGAAGTGAAAATGATTAAGCAAGCATATCAATTTCAGGATTGAATTGTTTTGCCTGGACACTTTATATCAAGGTTAAAGATGCGCTGAAAGTTAAGATACCCAAAGAAGGCTCTGAAAACTATTTTAAATTATTCGACTTGCTTTTTCATTGATTTTTTCTCGAAATCATGGATTTGATAAATAACCTTCAGAAACCATTGTTACACCATATAAAAGGAATTTGCTCCTGACAAGGCGGGGTGGAAATAATCATATTTTTAGTTCAGTGCCAGCATTTTCTACTTATTCTATACTATTTTAGAAGTCATGGACCCACTCGCTCTACAATTTCGGCTACCTGGCGGGGGTCCTGTTTCTATTCGAGATGTCCCTTGCCCGCTTTATATTCAAGGCACTCTACAGTCAGCAGGTGGGACAGTTATTGTACTAGAAGAAGTCAAAATTGGGGGGGGGGGTAACGAACCAAAAAAATTGTTGACAATATATTTTTGTTAAGCAGGGTCATTAATCGTTCGAGTCAAACTTTCCCTAGGATAAAATATAAAGAGTAACTGAAACGATGCTTTATCGGATAAAGATTCAGTTTTTTAGGACTTGGCAGTACTCGCTGCTTTTCTCCTTCTCGTGAGCGGACACATCTTCGCCTACTCGCGACACATAAACCCGAATGAGACAACGACAGACGACAGCAGCGATTTGAACTTGTTTGCGCGCTTTCTCGAATATTGTGCTCAGTTCATAGTTTTCACCTCTGTAGTCAAGTTTGAGAACCAGATTTACTTCAAGCGAGTTGACTACCAGTGATGACATTACTATGACAAGATGGACGTACTACACATGTCTTCTTTTCCAACTCCGCCATTCATTGATTTAAAGCATGAACACGATTTTTCCCCATTATTTTTACTTCCAGAAAATAAAAAAACTTGCACAATCGAATTGTTTTAACCGAAATTTTCCAATTGTAAAAAATTATTTGCGTGATCATTATTTAAAAAAGTAATGGCAGGGCGAGGAAATTGAAGTTCAAGTTGTTTAACTTTTGTCGTGAAGAAAAATTGTCTTTTTTATCGTGCTTCTTTGTCTTAAAGGTAAAAGTTGGAACATTTATTATGAATCAAACAAAAATACATTTTTTCGTCCATTTAAATTCACTTTGCATCTATACAATACCCATTGCAATTAGTAATTGAACTATAATATATATTACTAATTTAGCAATTGAGAAATGATTTGGTGTGAAAAATGTGTAGGTAAAGGTAACAATAACGATAGATAAAGGTTAGGTCTCTGGTGGCTCTGATGCGCCGCCGTCCTGCTCATCTGCGGCTAAATAATGGTGGCTTGACTTAATGTTTGGCATCCTCAGTTTTGAAATGGACGTCGAGGAGGTTGAGGTTGTCATTGCAATTCCCGAGGACAGTTTGCTCGGAACTTGCACGTTGCTAGATGCTGCGCCACCGGAGCCCCCGGAGGTCGACCCAGTTCCAGGTGCTGATGGGGTTGGTTTTTTGTCGATTCGGCTAGGAGAATCATCTGATGGGGGCTGCTCTTTATCTTTGGTTTTAAACTGATAGAATCTGGATCGGTTGGCGGGTGCTAGACTGTTGTGCTGTGATTGGGCGGGGGATGTCGTGGAGCGTGGGAAGGAGGGCGAAGCCATTGAGTTGCTCGCAGATGTCACTAGGGAGTCTTCTGATGAGTTTCGAGGCAGTTGGATGTTCTTGGACAACGATGACCTCATAATGTCATCGGCGTCTATGTGAAGCGGATTGTTGAGATGAGACGATTGGATATTGGTACTCCTGAACCGTGAGTTAGATTCAATTGATTCACTTTTGCGAGACGCCTTTTGATTGAATTTGGAGTTCCCAGTGCCTTCAACTTGCTCCCGTTCGGTTATATCGCCGTTCGTTTCGGCGAACGATCGGACAGGTGTGGTGTCACAGCTACTCGGCTGTTTGCAAGTGAGATTCAGCTGCACGGGCTTGGAGGTGTTTGATGAGTCAACACAGAGGTCTACACTCACAGTTGAGAAGTCCACATCAGAGAATCCGGCGTCGAATGATGCAGTCCGGATGGCGTCCTTGATGAGGGTCTCGGCCAACTGCAAGTTCAAATTGACTCGGCTTCCATTCTGAGATGAGTTCAGCTCAAAGGAACTGGATAGCTGAAACACGTATCTCTAGGATTGATTTTATCGCTGTACAGCTACCGCCACGAGCATTGAAAGAATGAACAGGCTTTGATTTGCAATAACCCGCAGAAAAAATATCGTTGCGGTCCTTCTGGAACCTTTTCGTGACATAATTTAGTTTAATGATTATGTGATATCCGTGAATGCTGTACGCTAAACTTAAACTAAACCAAGAATAGCCGGTTTGATAAAATGTTCCTTTGTTACGGTTAATTCTACTTAGTTACAAATAAGATATGTTTAAAAAGTGAATTAATCTCTAAGTTAAAACATTAAAAAAGTGAGCGGTCATTCTCTCCGTCGGAGAGAATGAAGATAGCAAGGTCAAATCAAGATTAACCAGTTAAGATACTTTAAAGTAATTAGTGAAATGAAACAAATGGTAAGAATCACAACATTCCCCTTAGTGGGAAAAAATTTAAGTTACTAAGCGCCATGATATCTAACATGTTAACAATCCCTTTTTCTCCCTCTCGAGAAGTCCAACAAATGAAATTTTAAATACTGCACAGTATAACAAATGTCATTTTGATGCTCCAAAGGAATGACTAAATTATAGAGGATAATAAATTTCCTAAATCCGGCGGATTGTAATCCGTAGTTACAGCTAAGTAAGCACTAATTGCGCTTTAGACAAAATACTAGTACAGATTATAAATGACTAAATGTGAGATTTAAAAATTTGATTGAGTTTAGCTGTCCCCTTCCATAAATTTTTCCAGCTCGGCGTTGAAAATTTCACTATCTAAGTCGATGTAATTTTCAAAACAGTTCACGGCATCTCTCAGAGAATCGTCAGTAGAGGCGATGGAGAATCGATCAGGAGATTGGGTGTAAGCTAGGTCCGGTGTACTGTCTTCCGGTAGTGTGTTGCAAATGTTGGTCTGATTATCCAAGGGATTCTCTCTGAAAGTTTGTGTGGGGGAGCTCGAGCTGTCATCCTCGTCCAGAGATATAGGATTAATAGCGGAGCCTGGTTGGTTTTCTAGCTCATCTATAATATCTATGAAATATCGCTTACCATAGAATTTAGGGGGGCCAACATTTCGGCTTGAACGTCTTAAAATAAGTTCGTTACCGGTGGTATTAATTTCCTTAGGATGTCTATCCTCGCTGGTTCCAATTTCGTCTGAGGAGTCCTCTATTTCGAAAACTGGGAAATCGACCGGTTTTTCTCCCACCAATGGTTTTGTCCAATCCGAAGGAATGTTTGGCGGCTCCGTTGTCGTAGCCGTAGAAGGTTCGTCAGGTGAATGTGAGGTAGTTTGAAGTGCTGGTTTTATACTAATTGGGCATTCCGCTGTGTCCGAGGGTTGAGATTGTTCGTCTAAAATCTCAGGTTTTATATTAGTTTGATATGTTTTAGGGTCTAATGATGAGGTAGGTTCTTTTTTAAAATTGTCGTTATCTGAAATGAAGCGTTTTCTTATCATTTCTCTACATGGGAAACCTCCCGCAATCCATTCCCAATCGCTAATGTCCGACGTATCCGACGGAATAAACATTGATTCGTCACCTGCTAGGTATCCAGTATTCGACGTCGAGGCTTTATTTTGGTTCTTCTTCGATTTGTTGCATTTTGAAGGCTGGTTCGTTCCTCTAGATCTGGTGGTGACCGGGGTGGGCGACACTGTTTGTCTTCCTGACTTAGTGTCTGGTTTCCGCGTCTGTTGTGTCTTCGATTTGTGTGACTTTCTTGGACCTACTTGTAAATCACCGTTAGAGAAAAAAGGAAAGGAGATAATTCCTTTGAATGAACGAATTGTAGAAGATTTAGACTTTGGAATGGCGATGTCCGATTTTCTAATAATTTTTCCGTCGGATAATTCAACCGTGGATTTTGTTGAGTTTATTATTTTCTGACCTAGTTGTTTAAAGAAGGGATTTCCGTTTATACTTCTGTTAGTTTTCCGTAGTAATTTACCTTTAAACGGACTGTTTAAGGACACTCGGGCTGATTGAGGTTTTGAAGTAGTGGGAAGGTCTGAATCATAGCCTTTCTCCAATGGTGACTGGTTCTTTTTCGGTATAAGGGAGTCTTTGTATCCGTCCTCTGCCCGATCGTCAGCGTTCCAGTCGAGGGCCCTTTCTCTGCTTAAGATCAACTTCCCTTTGTCTAAAAATCCACCGGATAAATTATTAGATGCCAATTGCTTCCAGATCGTGTTCGGTTTTCTATTAAAGTGTATTTCGAACGGTGAGCATTTAATTTTAGATTGGAAGGAAGATCGTAGATTCCAAATGATTTTCGAAATGGCGGTTTGTAATGTGGGTTTTTGTTGATCCAGTGACATTGCTAATAATTTGATTTTTACAGTATGAACAAGTTTTTCTACAAGACCGTTAGAACGATGGTCCCCAACTGTACAGAATATTAGTTTGATATTAAGAGAATTGCAAAAAAATTTAAAATCCTGACTAGTAAAGCAGGATGCGTGGTCGACCCGAATAGATTTTGGAATCCCATGGAGATAAAAATAATCTTGAAAAAATTCAATTACTGTGTTTGATGACGTTGAAGATGTAATTTTTGCTGAAGGGAATTTTGAAAAACGGTCTATACACAATAAGATGTATTTATTGTTTCCCCAGTTGTTATCTAGTGGGCCGGCAAAATCAAGATTTATTTCCTCATTAGGTTCAAATAAGGTGGGAAGTTCACTAATTTGTGAAGTTGGAATGATGCTTTTTATGTTCTTACCGGTTTGCGTGCATTGTGTGCAATTAATCCCGTGGAAGTAAATTTGTCGATATATGTGTGGCCACCAAATGTATTGTGCCAAGTATTTCATACCGAATTGGCCAGGGTGAGATTCATGTAATGTTTTTAAAACGGCGTTTCTAAGTGTAAACGGAATAACTAGTTTTCCATCCATATATAATAGTCCGTCGGATTCATGAAGTTCTTTCGAAAATTGGTGTAGATAACGGGAATTTGCATTGATGTTATCTACTTTTTTCTGTAGAGCTTTAACAATTGGGTTTAATAATTCATCATCTTCCGTTAATAAAGCGACCAATTTTGCATTGAATAATGTATTTAAATCCAAAGGTCTTTCGGGTAACTTGAGATTTTCTCGGAGTTTAGTTACTAACTTCTTGTGTTCTGATGAAATTTGAAAATCGATAGAGACCTGTAACCTGGAAGTGGAAGGATTTACTACAATTTGGTTATTTGACATATTTACACTATTTATAAGTTTGAGATCCGAAGGATTACTAATTAAGCTACTGTTAAAGATTAAAAAATAGATAAAGGCTGAATTTGATAGGATAATTTTAGTAAAATCAGTGTTTGAGAAATCCAAAGGAATACATTTAGAATTACAAAGTTCTGTTCTATAATGTTTTTGATTGCAGATTGAAATGGAAGAGCTGACGAAATTCAATGCTGTGATTATTACGTGATTTCGTAATTTCATGTAATGGGAATTTTCCGAAATCGAATTAATTGAATTACGTAATGGATTTTCATTATCCGAAGGATTGAGTGCACTATATATTTTTTTGGTAGTAGCAACTACAAATTCTTCGTCGTAGTGTGATGAGGGAATTGCTTTACCCGAAGGAGTTCTTGAAATTAAGTCTGTAAAACCCATATCTTTTCCCGCTAAGTGTTTGATAGTAAAATTGAATGGTAGGAGACGATCTACCCATCTTGTCAATCGGCTATGGTATGTTTTGTTTCCGTGATTTGGTGACAAAGCGGAAAGGAGAGCTTTGTGGTCAGTGATAATTTCAAATTCGGAGCCATAGAGATAATTTTTGTAATGTTCAACCGCCCATACAACTCCTAATAACTCTAATTCGTTTGTTGAATATTTCGATTCGTGCGGATTTAAAAATCTTGAAGCAAATGACACTGTTTTCCAAACTTTCTCATGAAGTTGTTCAAGGGATGCACCTAATCCATTATGTGAAGCATCTGTTTTTACTCTCGTGGGCTTTTTTACGTCGAAATGATTGTTTTCGGTAAGATTTACTATTTCAGATTTAATCTTGACAAAAGCTTTTGAGTGATCTTCATTCCAAAGGAAAATTGACTTCTTGTTTAAAAGAGGTCTAAGCGGGCTTCCGAGGGATGCTAGATTTGGTACAAATTTAATGTACTGATTAGTTGACCCGAAGAATGATCTTAATTCTTTTAGATTCTTTGGGGTTGGAATATCTTTGATTGCCTTGGTTTTATCGAATAATGGGGCGATTCCGGATTTCGATATTTTAAAACCGAGCCATTCAATTTCTTTTTGGAAGAATTTGCACTTCGACCATTTAACTGCGAAATTGTAAGTGTCTAACGTTGATAAAATTTTGTAAACGATTTTCTTGTGATCGTTAAAACTTCCTTTGGAAGCGACTAATATATCATCGAGGTAGCAATTTGTAAAAAGAATGTTTCCCAAAGTTGAGTCCATGACTCTCTGAAACTCGTTTGGCATATCGCCGAGTCCGTAAAAACCCGTTAAAAATTGATAAGTGCCTGTTATATCTCCGCCGACTAGACTAAAGTTGCATTGGCTGCTAGTAAAATTGTCCAGTGCGAGTTGACTATATGCGTTCTTTAGGTCTAGGTTTGTAAACCATACTTCTCCGGCGGAATTGTCCGAAATTTGAGCCGCCACGTTATCAACTAATTCGTGTATATTAGGCATCTGATATTTGTTCTTGTATATTTGTTTGTTGATGAATTTTGAATCAAGGGCTAACTTTATCGATTTGTCTTTTTTACAAGTAATAACTATCGGACTAATAAATCTGTCCTCGTCACAGTTTTCTAATTTTTTGATGTGTCCTTCGGATTTAAGCCTGTATAATTCTGTTTTTACTGAGTCTAGTAAGTGTAAAGGGACCCTCCTGCCTTTTAATTGAATTGGCTTTAATGGTTCATGAAAATGTGTTATTTTTGTTTGATTCTTTATTTTTCCAATCCGAAGGAATAGTCGTTTGAAGGTTTTTCCAATCATTTCAATTTC